CCTTGAAGAGCCACCGGCCATCGACTACGTTCACCCCAGGTGGGGGAACTGCGTCGACATAGGTGCCGGTAGCCCTCCAAGATGCCATCTCCTGCTCCATGGCAGCCATCCACTGAGAGGCCCAAGGTCCCGAGGTCGCCTCAGCGTAGGTGCGAGGGGTCGGGATGTCGAAGGCGTCGGGGTCACCCTCATGGACTAGCAGCATGGAACAGAGATGGGGAGCAGCCTCTGACAGGAAAGCAAGCTCGTACTGCCAGTCCTCCAAGACGTCACTGCCGAGGGCAGGAGCACCCTCGACGAACGGAGGACAGACGGGGTCAGAGACCAGAGCGGTAGCGAAGTCAAGGCGGCGAGGAAAGGCAAAGTCAGCGACAGCAGCTACAAGAGCGTCAAGACTGGAGACAGGAACAGACGGGTCGGTAACGAGGGAGGCAAGGACCCGAGGAACAAGAGGACGAGCAGCACGAAGGTAGTCAGATAAAAGGGGAGGCGCGACAGTAAGCGACGACGGAGGAGGCGAAGGCAAATAGGGAGGACGAGACGCGTGGGAACAAAGCAACATAGGGTGAGAATGTTGAATAAGAGAGACAGGACGAGAACGAGAGGGACCGCGAGACCAGACGTGAGACAGAGGCGTCGGGGGAGGGACAGGTGGCGCAGACTGCACCGCGGGGCCACCGGAGTCAGCCGACTCCTCGACCGGAACAACCGACGGGAGGGGAGTGACGTGAGACACACCGGACGGAGTAGGACGGGGACGGAGGGGAGCAGGGGCGACCGGGGGAGTGGGAACCAGAAACAGGAGGGGGGGAGCCAGGAGACCTCGGTGAGGAAAGAGATGGAAAAAGTAGACAGACTCGTCGAAAGTGACGTCACGGGAGTGAAGGAAGTGGTGAGACGACGGGTGGTAGAAGTGCCAGTCAGACGAGTCGAGGGGGAAACCGAGGAAGACACAGGGGACGGTGCAGGCAGTGAGATTGTCCGTGCCAGAGGCATGAACGTGAGCGAGGGAACGCAGACGCATCACCAGGGAACCCGGTCCAAAGAAGGGTCGGCGAAACTTGCGGCCGTTGAGAGCGAGGCCAGAGGTTAAGCTGGTGAGCAGCGTAGCGAACGGCGAACGGCCAGAGAAAATGGGGTGCACCGGCATAGATCATGGAGGTACGAGCCACATCCATGACCAAACCGATGCGTCGCTCAGCGACCCCATTCTGCTGCGGGGAGTCCGGTAGGGTGTAAGTATGGGTGATACCCTCCGCACGAAAAAACTGACCCATCTGACCAGAGGCAAACTCGCCGCCATGGTCGGAGTGGAGACACAGCACAGGGAGATCTTGTGGAGGCGCGCAGCGACGAGCCACGGAATCAGAACGTCAGGCACGTCGGCCTTCCGCTCCAGGGGAAACACCGTGGTGTAGCGCGTGAAGTCGTCAACGAGCACCAGAAAGTAGCGCTCGCGATGCGGTCCAGGGATAGGGGCTAGGCCCCAGACGTCCAAGTGTAGGGTCTGAAGGGGTGCAGTGGCAGGGCGAAGTGAGGAGGAGTGAGGAGCACGGCGCAGCCGGCCCTCGACGTAGGGCATGCACGGCGGCGCAGGCGAGGGAGGGAGAGCAGGGAGCGACGCAGGAAGGCCAAGGACTAGACCGTGCTGAGACATGTGACGCAGGCGGGGGAGCGCGGGGTGACCTAGGCGGTGGAACCACAACAGTGACGGGTGAGTGAGCGACCGACACGAGCAGGCCGCAGCTACCTGGGTGGACGCAGGACTGGAGGAGGACCCGCCTGCCAGGGGGGGAGCAGTGTCCAGCGTAAACAGGCCAGACACAGGGTCCCGGGGGAACGTCGTAAGGGGGGCACCTGAGGCGGCCTCGGAACAGACTGCGTACCGCTTGTGACCAGGGAACGTAGTGGTGACGCCGAGGTCCTGAAGACAGCCGACACCAACTAAGTTCCTGGAGAACGAATGAATGTGCAGGCCTGTAAGGGAACCCGAGGGAACTGCCGGACAGGGAAGGGTAGTGTAGCTCCGAGCAACTACAGGACAAAAGGAGGGGTCCGCAAGGGCGACAACGGCAGGCGCAGTAAGCGGCGTGAGGGCGGTGTGGTCGCGGAAGAAACAGGCTGACGCACCGGAGTCTAGAGTGAAGGACAGCGACGGCGTAGTAGCCGACGACGGAGAAGCAAGGGTAGAGCCTAGGCTAGACAAAGCAAGATGTCCTACGCGTGACGCAGCAGGGGAGTCTGGACTACACACAGGTGCTACGCCTAAGCTAGAGAGCACAGAGTAATACGATCCGGAAACACTCGAAGCGTCAGCATACAGAGAATGCAAGGCAGAACTAATCCGATCCATGTCTAAATCAAGCACAGGCACACCGTGGAGCAGCAGGCTGGGCCAGTCAGGGAGGTCCAGGGCGGGACCAAAGCGGCGACGGAAGAGGTCGTTGAGGCGGTGGAGACAGCGGGCGGTGGGGTGCGAGCGGTGGCAAACCGTGCTACGCAGGGGCCCGTTCTGAAGCTGGTACTGGTAGCTCACAGCACTGAAGCTGCCGGTGGACGCCAAGCTGCAAGGGCCACCACCACGACCACCACTGCCAGGGGCTCCTGGCCACCCGAGCGGGAGACGAGCCCACGGTTGCTGTTGCCGCTGCTGCTCCTGTGACGGCTGCTGCTGCTGCGGCGGCTGCGACTGCGGCCGCTGCGACTTCGGTGAATGTTGTTGCTCCTGGGCACCAGCACCAAACCCCTTGTCAGAACCACTGTCCTCGCCAACACCACCACTAGCGCCACCTCCACGTCCTCCTTTGGGCCACAGCGGCCCCGGCGCTGGCGCTGCTGCGGGTAAGCCGCGGCTCTTGTCTCAGGTGCAGGCGCAGTCGTGGAAATTGCGGTGGAGATGTTAGCGTACGTGCACTGGGAGGGGGCACAGCCCTTAAAGATAGGGACTGCCGTAATACCGCTCGACTGAACGATAGTGTGCTGGCGAGTCTCTATCTCAGACAGAGTAGTGACAAAGGCGGTCAGGGTGAGGTCGACAGGGTGCTGACTAAGGAAGTGGTCGAGGGTAGTGGCTAAGCGGTCAGGCAGGCGCATGGCGATGAGGTACAGAGTAGCGCAGAAAGGTGGGGGGAAGGAAGTAAGCTGGGCGGCAGAGCTAGCAGCGCGATAGCTGGTCTCTAGTGCACGGAGGTGAGTGGCGAGGTTAGCTACCGTGGGGAAAGCAGAAAGGTCAAGGAAGAGCATGGGTAGGATCAAGCGGCCAGCAGAGGCGGAAGCAGGTGTGGAGTAACGCTCAACTACTGCGGCGAGAAAGTCCTTGGCGTTTGCGACAGCGGTAAAGCGCGGACACTCAGACAGGGGGAGGGCATGGCTAATGGCAAGCTGGGCTACTGCATCGCGAGAATCCCAGACAGCTCGAGCAAGCGCAGCAGCAGCAAAAGCCTCGCTCTCAGCAGTGGTAGGGTCAGCAGGGAGGGGATCAGGCGCAGGGGGCGGGGAAGCAAACCATCAACATGCATAGCCAGGGAGTGCCCATCCTGGCGCTGACCTGTCAGGTGCCGGTGGAGGTCGACGAGCCAGGCGGCGAAGTCGATCGCGTGCCCCTCGGCGTCCAAGCGAAAAACGGCATCCGCCATCGCACAGTGTGACAGCGGCACAGCGGCTCAGCGGCGCAGCGAATGGGCGGCTCGGCGGCGCGGCGGCTCGGGGACGCGGCGGCTCGGCGGCACGGCGGCTCGGCGGCACGGCAGCTCGGCGGCACGGCGGCTCGGCGGCTCGGCGGCTCGGTGGCGCGGGTGCTCGGTGGCTCGGGGACACGGCGGCTCGGCGGCTCAGGCGACGAGGCCAGCTAGGGCGCAAGGGGCCGGCTAGGGCACAAGGGGCCTGCTATGGCGAGCGGGGCCGGCAAGGGCGCGTGGGGCCGGCTAGGGACGCAGGGGGGCCGGTAGGAGCATGAGGGGCTGTAGGGGCGCGAGGGGCCGGCTAGGGGCGCGAGGGGCCGGTAGGGGTGTGACGGGGCCGGCTAGGGGCGCGAGGGGCCGGTAGGGGCGCGACAGGGCCGGCTAGGGGCGCGAGGGGCCGGAGTGGTGCGGGGGGCCGGCTAGGGGCGCGACGGGGCCGGCTAGGGGCGCGACAGGGCTGTAGGAGCGCGACGGGGCCGGTAGGGGCGCGACGGGCCAGCTAGGGGCGCGACGGGGCTGCAGGGGCACGACGGGGCTAGCTAGGGGCGCGACGGGGCCGGCTAGGGGCGCGAGGGGCCGTAGGGGCGCAACGGGGCCTGCTATGGGCGCGACGGGGCCGTAGGGGCGCGACGGGGCCGTAAGGGCGCGACGGGGCCTGCTAGGGGCGCGACGGGGCCGTAGGGGCGCGTGGGGCCAGCTAGGGGTGCGAGGGTCCGGTAGGTGGCGGCACGGGGCGGAAGCGGGTGGGTGGACCTACCTACTCGTGATACCATGTTAAGACTAGAAAGTATGATGAGAAGAAGGGAGAATAGGGGAGATATAGCGTTTGGGTTGTACCCACTAAGAACATACCCTATCTAGCCTATAACTTCTACATAGCAATATATGTATAAGTTGTCACACATGAACCACCTGTGTAATCTATTCTGCAAGAATGTTGCTTTGCTTCTCTGTAGAATAAATTTGTACGGTGTTCCATGAGGGCGTGAACGAAGTTGGTTCAATTCAAACTAATAAAGGGAGAATAGGATCAAATAGATGGGATGGGACAATACAGGTAACAGAACACCCCCCCCCCCCCCCCCCCCCCCAAAATTTCTCCTCCCCCCTCTCCCCCCCTGGCCCCCCTAAATGACTCAATCTTGGTAACCCTTGCAGAGACTCCTAAGCTAAGGTCTCAGGTAGGAAAGTGTCAGTAAGGCAAGCATGCTGCTTATTCAGAAGAACACATGCAAACGACACCAAGCAGCTGCTCCCATCAGGTGTATGACTAGAGTGCCACAGACGGATCGTGTAGTGTACGTTCAATGCAGCTCGCCAGCCCCCCTGATACGTTTATTTTGAACTCTGCCAAGCAGAGTGGGGAATGAAAGGCAGGAACGCGTCGTTCCTCACCCGCAACCGACCGTTTCCTTGAAAGCAGTGTATCAATAAAGAAGCACAGCTGCTGCCACAGCAGCAGCGCCGTAGTTAGAGATGCCAAAGGAGCACTGACCGGGGCATCCTTGCGCCGTTGACATCACACAGGACCTTCTATTCCTTTAACCGCCACCGCCAGCAGTACCGTTGGTTGCAGCCCCATAGTCGCAGATACAAAAGGGCACCCTGCCCAAGGAAGGACGTCTTCCTTCAAGTGAGCCACCATAAAGAGAACCCTACCACCGCCAGCAGCACCGCCGTACTCGCAGACTCCGAGGGTGCACTGGCCGGGGCAGTGCGCCCCAACGGTACTGAAGTCAGCTAACGCCCCCCACCGCCACTGCCGCTAGCTCCGCCGCCACCACCGCCAGCAGCAGCAGCAGCGCCGCAGTTGCAGATGCTGAGAGCACACTACTTTTGAGGCGGCTCCGAAGCAGGAAGGCTGGCTAACGGGCACCACCGCCACCACCGCCGCCAGCAGCAGCGCCGTAGTTGCAGATGCCGAGGGTGCATTGGCCAGGGCAGCGCGCCCCGCATGCGCCGCAGTGGTCGTTGCTGGAGTCGAGATTCGCGCAGCTGCCGCCGCAGCAAGCTAGCGACACGTCGCAGAAGCTGCCGCACGCCCCGCAGTTGTTGATGTCCGTCGCCTGGTCCACGCACAGTCTGGGGGGGGGGGGAGGTGAGGTGGGGGGAAAGAGAAGGGGAAGGTTCAGCAGGGAACCTCTTGCCATAGGCATGCCTCGCAGTCATTGAGTGGAAGCGGTAGGGGAATGGGCAGCATCAGACAAGCCACTTGCCTGCTGCACACGGCGACATTCCCTGGATTTCACATACGCACTGCACATTATGGGGGAACTGAATGGCGGTAAGTTTCGGGGACAGTCCCTGGTTTTCCCTGGGGCAACTCACGATCCACAGCCTAGTTGGGGAGCATTAACTCAACGAGAGGAGATAAGAAAGGGACTCACGATCCGCAGACGGTCTGGTTGTTGGGGCACTGGAAGACCTGCAGGCGACGCCACTTCACTCTTGGGCTGGCGGCGGCGCTGGTACGTCCTATCTGGGATGAGCGCATGGCGTAGCGCTGAATGGGGAAGGGCGGAAGGGCGGAAGGGCGGAAGGTCGAAGAGTTATGAGCGAGGATAGCAGAGCCGATGACACTAGACTCTGGGACTGGTGGCAGCGCCGGTGCGTCGTATCAGGGATGAGCGCATGGCGTAGCGCTTATTGGAAATGGGCGGAAGGGTGCAGGTCGAAGGAACGCGAGGAGCATGGCAAAGACAGAATGAGAGACGCTGAAGTGGATAGCGGCGAATGGGACGGGAGGCGAGCATCGCCCGAGATGCGCAGAGTGATGGCGCCCTGCGCCCATGATGCGTACACGTGTTTCAGGAGGCAATTTTTGAGTCGACTCAAAAATCGACACGTGTTTCAGGAGGCATACGTACGCAAGAGAACTCAGAAGAGCAGGAGGAAAGCGACGAGAGGAGCAGCGAGGAAAGCGGATGTTGCGGCGACTTGTCGGACTTGTTAGTCAAAGTTCAACTTTGACTTGTACAACGGACTACAAGTTGTCTCACCCACCCCTTCGGAAGTTGACTCTGGAACCGCGCCGCACGAGCCGCCTCCGTTTTCGCACCGGATGTGTCCACTTTCGTTTTGAGGCGCCTCAAAACCGAATGTGTCCACTTTCGACGTACCTCGAAGTCCCTGGAGCTTTGTGAGAAGGCCTGCGCGCTTCCAGTAATCGCCGCGCACACGAGCAGCACCGCAAACAGCTCGATCGCCCACCGAGGGACGACGCCGCGTCGTGCCGCGGGAATGCCGCGCTCCCGGGAAGCCATGCTGGCCGCTCTTACTCTGAGGCAGTTGGGAATCCGAGTCGCTGCGGCTCGAGTGGACGTCAGCCGGGAATCGCCGTCGCTCGATTCGCGGATTAGTACTAGCACTAATTCTACTAGCGCTCTATTCGCGACCGTGTCGTCCGATCTATTGGACGACGCGGCCCGTCCAATAGTGGATTCGACGCCGGTCGTCCGATCCGTAGCTATTACTAGCAAGCGAGCGCGGTAAGAGCAGATGGGTCTCGAGCTGGAGACGGGTGGCCGTGCAAAAGCCAAATCCGTGTTGATTACGATTGATATCTCTCGTAGTTCTACGAGCTCATGATGTCGGGGTTATAGAGACTGCTGCTAGCCTGCTAGGTGCTACCGGGCTGGATGCTATCGAGGAGGAACGCCGTGGATAGTCGAGTAGGTAGCGATTCAATTTCGAGCCGGGCGTCGCAGGCGAGACAAGATAAGAATCGGATTTCCGCGTGGGATTGTTCGAGTGGTACGCAACCAATCGACCCGCCAGCTACCACTAGAGAATAGACTATCTTTGACGTTCAGACGAGAGAGAGGTCAAGTGAGTCGCGCCTAGTGGGGATGGCGGTGGGTGGTCTGGCGCCATCACTGACTCGTGTAGCGGGAATCGTCCCGTTCGCGCTAAGGCGTTTGTAGCCGTATTCGTCGTCTACTTGTACGATGCCTGTCGTCTGTTGCTGAAGTGGACGACTGTGTTAGCTAACTGTGGTGGGTCACACGGCCTGTGTAGAACGAAAGGGGTGGTTGGGTCTATTGGGTTGGGGCTATGGGGCTGCGAGATTGGGGGGGGTGAGATAGTGAGTGGGAAGAAATGGATGGAGTGGAGTTGCTTGCCTGGGGGATTCCGAAGCGCGATATTTATCGATGAATTGCTCAACATCGGACCGCGCGAGAGTGGGAGGACCATGTGTCCACTCCGGGCCGAGCATGGATGAAACGGCTTGATCAGGCATTGCCTGTTTGAGCGAACCTCGCCGACATCTGCAAACGGGTTACCAGACGAAAACGCTGAGCAAACTTACAGATCTGCGTAATGCAGCGCACTTGAGAGCACTTTTCAGAACTGGCTAAGTGCGCGCATAGACGCGGTCGAGTTTCGAATCGAAACGCAAATGATACCTTCACATGTGTAAGTCACGGTTGACGCGAAATCTCGATAAGCCCCGAGCTGCCATTAGCTTCATCGTAAGAGAGTTCGCATAAGTTACCCTGTTCGCCAGTCTCGCTAGACTAGTATGAATGGTTTGGTACTCTACTGTAGCGCCAACTAAGCGCGACCAGCACAAAGCAGAGGCAGCTCATGGATTCCCTCGGGCAGACAAGACAGTTGCGGCGCGTCACTGGCATTCGTGGGGCAAAGTGTGTTGCCCATGTGACGCGTCGCGCGCGTGTCCGCTTCCAATCAATCCAGCAACAGAAGGAATTGGAAATTGGAATGGGACATGGGAGAGGGGGAGAGTGAACGTAGAGGGGAGGGGGATGCCAGGCTAGGGATCCAGTCAAGCCAGGGATCAAGCCAACCCAGCAGCCCAACGACTCCTCCCTTCCAACCCGACATCCGTGCCCCCGCGAGAGGAGGATACGCACAGAGCAGAAAAAAGGCACTCATCGTTCGTTGGTCGTATTCCCGGCTTCGATTCCTCTTATGACCTCCGGCTGCCACACTTCACCCTTTCCGCGCTGCCTTCTCGGTTCCAGCTTCTCAGGAACGTATCTCAAAGCGTCATAACTTAGTCGTGGATTGAAATCTCATTCACCTACTGATAGAGCTTCTTCAGGTTCAAACTACCCTTGCTCCCACTCCAGTCAAGTTCTTCCCCGGTTACCATCCCGCCTTGGTTCTTCCTTCCCCAGACACGTTAGTGCTTCTCGTGACCTCGTCACACATTTGCGCTTCCTGCTTTCCTATTTAGCGGCGGGTTTTCTAATCACCATCCACTACTATATCAGAAACACCACCTCCCAAACATCATCTGAGATTCGACTAGTACTTCCGAGCTCGACCCTAAGAAACTCGAATTCGACGCAATGACAACCAGCGAGTTGAGACTCGACTCGAGCAAGATGAGATCGAGGTTGATACACGCGGTGTTCCTCCTCTGCACCGCCGCGCTACTAGCAGCCGCGTTACCGCCCACAACAGCCAGCGCGAGAGACTTCGAAGTAAGGATCTCGTTTCTTCGTCTCACAACGGAGGACAGACAAGTTTTTTCCCTTGCGTTTTACACCCAGTGAAAGCCATTAACCTGATTGTCGGAGTACTCTCGCCGTTCTGAGTTCAACTCGCGCCGTTCTGAGTTCAACTCGCGCCGTTCTGAGTTCAACTCGCGCCGTTCTGAGTTCAACTCGCGCCGTTCTGAGTTCAACTCGCGCCGTTCTGAGTTCAACTCGCGCCGTTCTGAGTTCAACTCGCGCCGTTCTGAGTTCAACTCGCGCCGTTCTAAGTTCAACTCGCGCCGTTCTGAGTTCAACTCGCGCCGTTCTGAGTTCAACTCGCGCCGTTCTGAGTTCAACTCGCGCCGTTCTGAGTTCAACTCGCGCCGTTCTGTCACTGGCTCTGCCTCTGACACTGAAATCGAGACCAGATCGTCCGAAAGAAAGGCATTTCAGAAACATTGTCACCTTGAAATGCCTGTCCGAACGCATCCTACGGCAGTATATGCAGCTGGTGCACTTGCGTCGTCCGTACGCAACTAGTAGTTTTTGAGACGCGTCGTACATTTGCTCGTAGAACGGGCCATCTCTCTCACATTGAGACCTTGACTCGGTGCATTCCGAGTCGACCCGGAATGGCTCCGTACCATTACAGCTACTCTTTGTTTTGTTTTTTGAGAATTCTCAAACGCAAAACACGTCGACTCAGAATGGCCCCGTGCCATTGCAGCGACTCGCTCACCCGATTCGTGCAGAGTCACGCGACGACGCCACTCGCCCAAAATCGGACTAGACCCCCTTGATCTCTCCCCAAACTCCTTCCAACTTCCTTCTTCAGCCGCTTCGAAACTCGCCATCCGGTTCTTGCGTCGTCACACGATGACGCCATCCGCCATTTCCGACGATCCCCATAACCACCCCCCCCTCTCCCCCCCCTCCTCACCTCCCAGCTGCTTCCTCCCACAGCTCCTTCCCCGTTTTTTCCTGCGCAGCGATGTGACTCACGCCGTTTGAAACGGTTGGGCGCTACGTACTGATACAACTAATCGATACAAGCCATTCAAGAAAAACTCGCACCCTAATGATACAACTCATTCCATGCACCGTACGGCATTCCAAGTATTTTCACAAGTTGTACTCTTCCCTGTTTTTTTCTCCCTGCACTCCATGTCCCGCAGCGGTATGCCATGCGAACGTCGCGAATCGGTGGTAACTCGCGAGTGAAATGGCGTCGCCTGCAGGTCGTCCAGTGCCCCCAAAACCAGACCACCTGCGGATCGTAAGTCCTGTCATTGCCAACGCTGCGTCCTCATGCGTGTGGGATCCGCACGTGCCTTGTGGGATCCGCACGTGCCTTGTGGGATCCGCACGTGCCTTGTGGGATCCGCACGTGCCTTGTGGGATCCGCACGTGCCTTGTGGGATCCTCGCGTGCCTTGTGGGTTCCGCGCTTGCGTTGTGGGATCCGCACGCGCCTTGTAAAATCCCGTGGCGCAAAGCACCTTCATTCATATCCGCGCCTTACAACCGATTGCTGTACGGTATATCCCATCACGTATACCCCTCCTGTTTGCTCCCACCCTTTCTTCCCCATCAGTATATGCTTGGACCAGTCGACCGACATCAACGCCTGCGGGATGTGCCTTCTGCAAAAGGCTCTCTGCTGAACATTCCCCTTCACTTTGCCCCAACTCCGCTGCCCCCACTCCTCCCCCCTTCCCCATCCCCCCCCCAGTCTGTGCGTGGACCAGGCGACGGACATCAACAACTGTGGAGCGCGTGACTGTTGCAAAGGGTTCCCTGATGAGAATTCCTCTTCTAATTGCTGTTTCTTCTCCCCCCCTTCCCCTACCCCCCCCAGTCTGTGTGTGGACCAGTCGACTGACATCAACAACTGCGGGGAGTGCCTATCGCATAAGGTTGTCTCTGCTGATCGTTTCCCTTCTCTTTCCCCCCCATCCCCTCTCCCCTCCCCACCCACCCCCCCAAGTCTGTGCGTGGACCAGGCGATGGACATCAACAACTGCAGGGAGTGCAAATTAGAAAATGTTATCTGCTAAAATTTTCCTTCCCTTTTCCCCTTGCCCCCCCAGTCTGTGCGTGGACCAGTCGACGGACATCAACAACTGCGGGGCGTGCGGCAGCTTCTGCGACGTGTCGCTGGCTTGCTGCGGCGGCAGCTGTGCGAATCTCGACTCCAGCAACGACCACTGCGGCGCCTGCGGGGCGCGGTGCCCCGGTCAGTGCACCCTCGGCATCTGCAACTACGGCGCTGCTGCTGGCGGCGGTGGTGGAAGGAGATAGCGAGCTGGTATGGGATATGGGCGAATGCTATACTGCACATGGAGATGCTTGAGAGGGAGAAGCTGGACTAGGTGCTGAAGAGAAGGGCATCATAGGACAAAGAGCGCATTGTCCTATAATAAGCTCTTCACTTCCCTACAGAACAATAAATGGCCAAAGAATTTTGGCCTTGTATTTCTAGTCCTGACCTCATGTTTTGTTTGTTTAATGTTAAAAATCTGTATTGCAGATTTGTGTTGGCATGTGGTATTATGAAAGAGGGAAAACTTAAGAGCATGCTGCTTCACTGAACGTGTGGGAATGAGTGGTTTGCAACTTCTTCGACATACTTTAGTGCAACTAATTCTGAAAACGCCATAACGGGGAAAGTTGGGCGCGTGTACTACACCGTAACGGGAAATAGCTGCTTAGGCTTGGGCCCAATTCAGAATCAGGGCATATTCTGCGCTCCAGTCACAGGCAGAAAGGGCAGACTCCAGCGTAAATTTCCAGGCAACAAGTGGCTGACTTCGCCGCGCAATGCGCCCTCTCCATTCTCGTCGCCTTAGCACTAAAAGTGGTTTTGCCGGCCTACCGGCTGGCTGGCTGACGTTGAAATGCTGGTGATGATCGGCAAGGAGTGCACTGCCTACCGGCTGGCTGGCTGTTGCCAGACGGTCTGAAACTAGTAGGGTCACGAGTAGTCGCGAGTACTAGTTCTAATACCGCTACCAGAAGTTTAACTACTACTATACTACCGCTATTCAGCAGCAGTGAATTTGTCCACGAGCCGAGCGCGATGCGGGCGGCCACGGTAATAATGTCAACGCGCCTACTGTCGACGCGTCTACTGTCGACGACAGTCGTGGCGCTGCTGGCGCTAAACAGAGTAAAGTTAAACCTTCTTTGCTGTGCCACGTGCCACGTGCCACGTGCCCGCGGCACTGTGATACCGTGCTAAACTGGAGTTTGTACTAGTAATCGAATTCCTCGGAACTTCAAACTCGTGTTCGGACCAAATGTGTAACGAGCTCTCTCGGATAGATGGTACGTCCCATTTCAGTGTTCGGACATTGCTACCTCCTTCGTGTGACAGTTCTAGTTTCGATTTGATTCGACTCAAAACGAAACTAGTATGATACAATCACATTGCCACCTCCTTCGTGTGATACTATACGAACGAAACTTCTACGATACAATCACATTGCCACCTCCTTTCGCCCATTTCATACGTGACGAGTAAAACGCTCGCTCTCTCTTTAATCTGTAACTCATATCCTCCTCTCCTGGTAACCTTCCAGCCCTCCCTCCCCAACTTTTGAGGCGCCTCTAAAACTTTGAGCCGCCGCAAAAGTCGTCTCCTTTACGATAGAACGACTAACTCATACCCTCCTCCCTTAGTACCCTTCCGCTCCTCCCTCCCGAATCCCCATGGAGGGCCGGATACTGCGAGAGATTCGGTGCCATGCTAAAGCTTGAAATACGCGGCAGCAGCACCTTCGTATCGTGCCACCTGTGTTTGAGGGTAATCTCATATCCTCCTCTTTTGGTAACCAGATGGCTACTCTTCGTGCTGCTGACGGGGGTGTTGACGGGGGTAAATATTCCCCATCGACAAAACGCAACTCTCGTTTCTCTCTCCCACCAACGCCTCCTACTAACCCCGCAGGCTATCGATCGTGAGCCCTATGCGCGCTTCCATAAGCTGTAAGGCCTAAAACGGAAGAAAAAGGCTCGGTGGCACGGTAGGCTGAATCAGTGCGTTAAGCCAGTTGTAGCGCGTTTCTGGGCTGCTTCTTCCCAGGAGCAGGTTAGGTTAGATAGCGCGACAATTCTAAGCTGCAAGAGTGATTTTTGAGTCGTCTAAAAATCACCTCAGGCCTGTTTCTTCCCAGGAGTAGGTTAGGTAAATAGCGCGACAATCCTAAGTAGCAAGAGTTCACAGCGAATTGCTGGCCGAGCCGAGCTGAGCGGGGCCGGCTTGACGGCGAGCCGACTTTTGAGTCGACTCAAAAGCCGGCCCTGGCTCGCCAACAGAAATGCGAGCGGAGCCAGGCATTTTTGGAACCCTGCTCGACTCGAGCCGAGCCCGGCTCGACGGGACGAGCCGAGCCGAGCCAGGCTCGGCTCATGCCCACGTCTAGTATCGACCCTGTCATCACTCGTTCCTCCTCTCACCTTCTATCCTCTCACCTTCTATCCTCTCACCTTCTATCCTCTCACCTCTCTATCCTCTTCTATCCTCACCTTCTATCCTCTCACCTTCTATCCTCTCACCTTCTATCCTCTCACCTTCTATCCTCTCACCTTCTATCCTCTCACCTTCTATCCTCTCACCTTCTATCCTCTCCTTCACCTTCTATCCTCTCACCTTCTATCCTCTCACCTTCTATCCATTCCACCTCTCTCGTCTTGGCTCCTTCAGGTGTTCCTGTCACCTTGCCGACTCCACACATGACAGGCTCCCTCTGCTCCCTCTGCTCCCTCTGCTCCCTCTGCTCCCTCTGCTCCCTCTGCTCCTCTGCTCCCTCTGCTCCCTCTGCTCCCTCTGCTCCTCTGCTCCCTCTGCTCCTCTGCTCCCTCTGTCCTCTGCTCCTCTGCTCCCTCTGCTCCTCTGCTCCCTCTGCTCTCTCTGCTCCTCTGCTCCTCTGCTCCCTCTGCTCCTCTGCTCCTCTGCTCCCTCTGCTCCTCTGCTCTCTCTGCTCCCTCTGCTCCCTCTGCTCCTCTGCTCCCTCTGCTCCCTCTGCTCTCTGCTCTCTCTGCTCCCTCTGCTCTCCTCTGCTCCCTCTGCTCTCCTCTGCTCCCTCTGCTCCCTCTGCTCCTCTGCTCTCTCTGCTCCCTGCTCCCTCTGCTCCCTCTGCTCTCCTCTGCTCCCTCTGTTCCCTCTGCTCTCTCTGCCCTTTGCTCTCTCAGGTGTTTCCAGTGACCACTGCAATAGAAGACCGGTTTGTCCCCCCCCATGTGGACTTTGAGTACCCGACGCCCTCTGTGGCACGGCATGGCGGGACGATTACATCCGCCTGCACTCCGCCATTCGCGCCGCCAGTGCCGCCGCCTACAACTCCCTCCTCCCTCTCCTCCTCCTCCTCCCCCTCCTCCTCCCCCGGCCCCATCTCAAGGAATCAATGCTCCTTCTCCCTCCTCCCTTGCCCCTCTTCTGTCTTCCGCTGCCCCACTACAACCGGCCCCCCCACCAACCTCGCCCCCACTCCACCACCAGCCTCCGCCCCCGCCCCTTCTCCCACCACTGCACCCCTCCCGCCCTCCTCCCCCCGGTTTCTCACGTTCGACCAGCCGGGGCCGTGCGGCGGCTTCGGGGACTTCCTAGTGGGGGTGGTGTCGCTCTTCGCCGTCGCGTTGCTGGACCGCCGGGCGTTCATAATCCGCCACGACTGCCTCCCATACGCCTTTGAGCCCGCGTTCATCGACTGGCGAGAGTCCCCCGATGTCCCCCTGGAGCCGTCTTATCAAGGGAACTATGTAAATGGGACGTTTCCGGAGGAGAGAATTCCGCGTATAAACCTGCACGATCAAAGAGTGGATTTGCAGGAGTTTGCGAAACTAAAGGCGTTTAGGAATGTGAGGGTGCTGTGGAACCGCGGCATGCTAACGGAGATTCTTACAAGGGGGACGGGCGAGTGGGCGGATGCGCTCAGGGCGACGGGGTTGCGCCCACCGTATGCCTTCGGTTGCATTCTCCGATTCCTCGTCAGGTGCGCCTCGTGTGCACCATCCCCTCTCTCCTCGTCAGGACCACCGTACACCCTCAGCTGCATTGTCCGATTCCTTGTCTGTCAGTATGGTTGTATTTAGCGTCATGGGGGTCAAGAGCTGTTTGCAAGAAAAATTAACATGGAAACACCATAATCAAGTTTGTTTCCGAGGCGGTTTGTGCCCGAGACATGTAGGTGCGTGCAAGGTGACAGCAAGCGTGGTACTTGATATTCAGGTTGCTCTGTTCTCTTGGATAGCTGCCAGGTGTCATCTGACGCATGTGGGTTTTGCGTTTGATGCATGTCGGTTTTGTGTTTGATGCAGCTGGGCTTTGCGTTTGATGCATGTGGGTTTTGTGTTTGATGCATGTGGGGCTGCAATTGATGGATGTGACCTCGCGATTGATGCTTGTAGACCCATTGCATCAAATGCAAGACCCATGTGCATCAAATGCAAGACACATGTGCATCAAATGCAAGACCCACATGCATCAAGTGCAAGACCCATATGCATCAAGAGCAAGACCCATATGCATTAAATGCAAGACCCATGCGCATCAAATGCAAGACCCACATGCATCAAGTGCAAGACCCATATGCATCAAGTGCAAGACCCACATGCATCAAGTGCAAGACCCATATGCATGAAATGCAAGACCCATGTGCATCAAGTGCAAGACCCACATGCATCAAATGCAAGACCCATATGCATCAAGTGCGAGACCCATGTGCATCAAGTGCAAGACCCGCATGCCTCAAGTGCAAGTCCCACATGCATCAAGTGCAAGAGCAAGACCCATATGCTTCAAGTGCAAGACCCACATGCATCAAGAGCAAGACCCACCATGTGCATATAAAGTGCATAATGTGCATAAAGTGCATAATGTGCATAAAGTGCATAATGTGCATAATATGCATGCATCCAGTGCAGAACCCCAAACCCACGTTCCCATAAAGCCCATCGTTTTGAACCTATAAAGGAGATATGGCCACGTTTCTAGTAGGCAATGCTGCACAGCAGTTATGGTGGGGTTGCATGTGGGGGTGATCTTTGAGTCAACTCAGATGTCATCTGCGGGAGTCGCTGCACACACAGTGACGGTGGGGTCCACTCCACTCACCATTCATCCCTTCTTTTCACCATTCATCCCTTCTTTTCTCATCCCTCATTCCTTCCCATCTCTCATCCTCCCTAGAACCAAGAACGGAGGTTTGGCCACTGATGTCACAACGCCTGCACGAGATGCACGGGAGGCAGATAGTGACGGGGTTGGGGGGGGGGGGGCATTTCATGTGCCATCCTTCCTCCAACCCTCACGCATCCCTCATTCCTCCCTTTATTCCTCATCCCTCTCTCCTTCCCCATCCCTCATTCCTCATCGCACCGAGACCGAGAAAGGAGCACGGCCACTGATGTCCCAACTGCTGCAGGAGATGCAGGGGGAGCGGGCATTGCTGGTGGGGACGGGTGCATGTGCTACCCGTTCACCAGCCCACCCTCGCTAATCCCGCAGTCATCCCTTGATTCCTCGTCCCTTGCTCCCTCCAGACCCGGGTGCATGTGCTATCCTTCCTCCGATGCGGGCTCATTCCCCACTCATTCCTCATTCATGCCCCCCCCTCATCCCTCATCACTCATCCCCATTTACACCTAGGAAGGAGATATGGCCGTTGATGTCCCACCTGCTGCACGAGTTGCAGGGGACGCGGATCGTGACGGTGGGGGTGCATGTGCTACCCTCTCACAAGCCTACCCTCACTTATGCCTCGGTCATCCCTTGATTCCTTATCCCTCGCTCCCTCCAGACCCAGGAAGGAGATATGGCCGCTGATGGAGCACCTGCTACACGAGATGCAAGGGGCGCGGACAGTGACGGTGGGGGTGCATGTGCGGCTGAACGACGGGGTGATAAAGAGAGATAACGTGTCGGAGGAGAGTGTGAATGCGACCACCATGCTTAAAGCCCTGAGGAGCGTCAACTTCATGCTCGACTGTGCCCGGGTGAGTTGCGGGGATTGCTGGGGTGACTTGGGGGGGATGGTAGGTGGAATTCTGGTGGGTTGCAGAGGCTTTGTTCCCGTTTCGTAAGATGTGCCGCTCAGGCTCAAGGTGGGACCGATGGTCCCATACTTGCAAGGGTTAACCATGTTGGAAAATGCTTTGCGAGGCAGCGGTTAACCCTTCCATAAGATGTGGTGCTCACGCTCAAGGTGGGACCGATGGTCCCATACTTGGAAGGGTTAACCATGTTGGAAAATGCTTTGCGAGGCAGCGGTTAACCCTTTCATAAGATGTCCTGCTCAGGGGGGCGGAAACACCACGCTAGACTGTGCCCCGGAGATAAAAAGAGAGGTGGGCTAGAGGTGGGACGGGGTGTATGTGCGGCTGAATGACGGGGTGATAAAAGAGAGAACGCGTCGGACGGAGGAGAGTGTGAATGCGACCACCATGTTTAAAGCCCCGAGGAGCGTCAATACATGCTTGACTTTGTGCAGGTGAGATGGGAGAGGTGCTGCTGGGTTGAGTTGCGGAATGGTGAATTGGGTTCTGGTGGGCTGGGCTGCTGAGGTTTTGCTCCCTGTCCATCAGCCCTGCGATAGTTTAACATACATGTCCATCAGCCCTGCGATACTTGAACATACATGTCCATCAGCCCTGCGATAGTTTAATATACATGTCCATCAGCCCTTTGATAGTTTAACATACATGTCCATCAGCCCTGCGATAGTTTAACATAGTTTTAATTCGTCTCAAAACTATGTTTAATTCGCCTCTGAGTGATCATTATCAGCACCTGGATCACTCAGAGGCTTTGCTCCCTGTCCATCAGCCCTGCGATAATTCGATATTGTTCTAATTCACTGCAAAACTAGATGATTGGCACTCAGAGGCGTTGTTCCCTTTTCCGTCAGCCCTACCTCCCTCCACCGAGCGAACACCACTCAGCAGGTTTAGCCATACGTGGTAGCAGAAGTGGGTCGGTAAAAACACTTGTAACAACACTTGTAACAACACTTGTAACAACACTTGTTCTTTGTAACGGCAAGAGAAAATGGTTGCTCAGAGAAACCCCTCATGGGGCTCAGAGAAATTGGTACGCTGTGTTCCCTTTGCAACAGCCCATCTCCACTCGCCCCACGTCCCCATGGGCAGTAGAGGCCATGGGGCGCACACCCCCTCCACCTCTCACTGTGTCGTGCTCCCACTCCCTCTCACTTCACCTCCACACCCTCCCTCCTCGCTCCGCGCTCTCCCTTTCCTCCATCCGACCGAGGCAGTAGAGCCCGCACATCACATGCGGCACATCACATGCGGTACTGGCATAGCATCCACCACATACGGTACTGGCACACCATCCATCACACGTGACGCGATGCCCTCTCCCTAAACCGCCTCTCTCTCACTCGCCTTGAGATGGATGCTATGTTTGAGGCGCCTCAAAAATAGACTCATCACATGTATGCGCTGCCCTCTCCCTATCCCCCGCCTCTCCCTCACTCACCTTGAGAGGGTCGCTCATCACATAGTTTTCATAGGCAGTTTACCACACCCCACTTTCTCATCCTTCTCCCTTATCCTCTACATTATCCCTCACAGGCAGTAAAGGACATGTGCGACTGCTCACCTCTCTTTGTGCGATGGCCGCTCATCACGTAGTTTTCACCCTCCTCTCTCCCCTCGCTCCCCCTCCCCCACCCCCCAGTCAGTAGAGGACATGTGGTGCCTTCCGCCTCTCTCCGTGTGCTGGATCCCCATCCCCATCACCAACTCCATTCACTACACGCCCATTCACTACACGATGGCTGTGCGAGTGAACTGCCATCCACTGTGCCATGGATGCTCACTCACATCACTACCACTCCCCTTCCTAGACTCACTCCAACTCACACCGTCCCCCGTCCCCCCAGGCAGTAGAGGACATGTGGTACCCGCCACCCCTCTCCGTGCGCTGGATGCTCATCACCAACTCCATTCACTACAAGATGGCCGTGCGAGAGAATTTCCCTGGCAAGGTGTGTATTTCACGGTGCTGCCTGGAGAAGGTGCGTGCTGCCTGGGCAGTGTGCGTGCTTTCAAGGCAAGGTGTGTATTTGCAGGGCATCATTCAGAAGTCACTTCATGTTGAATATTTGTTTTGAACCACAGGGTCAATGCATGGAGTGAGCTCCATTTTGAACCACAGGGCATGGCAAGGTCTGTGATTCTTGGTGGGTGCTGCTTTAGGCGTGGGTTATGAAAGCATGATGTGTGGCCTGTCCCTCCCACACCCCTCCGCTTTCAATGCCTCCTATCCGACTTCTGCTTCCTGCTCTACCAGCAGCCCCTCCCCTTCCTCGCTACCTGCTTTTCCCTGTTCTCCTCCGTGTGCATGTTTCGATCCCTCATTGTTTCACTCGCAACTGTCCCCATAAATCACCACCAGTTGCTTTATTTCCCCACCCTTGACCCCCTTCGTCCCCCTACCTGACATGGCTGCCTCTGCAGGTCTTGGAGACAAATTTCGTTCCGCATCATTCCGCAGAATTCGGGCAGAAAGGGGATCCAAAGGAAGTGCAAGGCTTTCGAGAGATGGTTGCCGATTGGCTGCTGCTTTCCAGAAGCCGAGTGTTTGTGATCATGGTGTCTGGTTTCTCCCGCACTGCCGCAATGTTCTCTCTAAGACCCACAGCTATATTCACCCCTCTGAAGCACTGTGATCCGGAAACACCTTATTTGTTGAGTGATTTTGGCCTTGAATACAGTGGCATTTGATGGACTCAACTACTGAAGAGTATCCACGACATCTCCTTATTTGCAGAAGTGCACCGATACCATATCTGGAAAAAGACAGCCTAATCAAGGTGTATTGTTTCGGTGTCGGTTGGCATCATTTTTGGTAGTTTTTCATGGGTATCAGTGAATACATGTAGCAATTGTGCATAAAATCAACCACGAAAGGATCAAATCCCACTGTATGCAATGCCAAACTCGGTTTGCCGATACGGCTGTTCTGGGTCACAATAATGGGGCGGCGTGTAGATAGCCATTGGCCTAAGAGAATACATAGCAGCAGTGCGGGAAAACCCCGAGATGGTGAGAACGAAGGAGTTGCTAGACGCCAGCAGCAGCCACTCAGCAACCATCTCTCGGAACCCCTGTGTGGCTTTCTCCCTTGCTTGCTCCTCGTCTTTGTTTCCATAGGCTTCTGAGTGGTGAGGCACGAAATTTGTCTCGAGTATCTGCAGCAGCGGATGGTGTATGGGTGAACAAAGGGGGAGTGGGTTGGAAAAGAGGAGGCAAGATGACGGGGGAGTATGGGCATTGAGGCACCTCAAAAGAACAACGAAATTTGTCTCGAGTATCTGCAGCAGCAGTGGTGCACAGGTGGGCCATGGAGAGTGGGTCAGTTGCGCCCTTGCGCTGCTTTCTCCCTTGCCGCTTGCTCCTCGTCCTTGTCCCCAAAGGCTTCTGAGTGGTGCAGCATGAAATTCGTCTGGAGTTTCTGCAGAAGCAATGGCTCGCAGGTGGGCAATGGGGAGTGGGATGGGAAGGGGGAGGCGGATTGAAGGGAGAGAGTATGATAACTGAGGCGCCTCAAAATAAAGATTTAAAGTTTCTCGGGTGTCTGCAGCAGCAGCAGATGACGTATAGGAGGACAAAGGGGATTGGGGATCAGAAAGAGGAGGGAACCGGTACAAAGAGTCGCGAGTTGGTTCTTGAGAATTCTAAAAGGCCAAGGTTACTGGTAGGTGATTTTTGAGTCGACTCAAAAATCACCTTGAGCATTCTAAAAGGCCAAGGTAGCTCGCGGTTCTGGTAGAATGACTGGAAACGGGCCCTTGCCAAGGCCAACGAATCGTGTACCAAGGCATTTTTGAGGCGCCTAAAAAATAGACTCCTCACGCAACGAATCGTGTACCAAGGTATTTTTGAGGCGCCTAAAAAATAGACTCCTCACGCAACGAATCGTGTACCAAGGTATTTTTGAGGCGCCTCAAAAATAGACTCCTCACGCAACGAATCGTGTACCAAGGTATTTTTGAGGCGCCTCAAAAATAGACTCCTCACGCAACGAATCGTGTACCAAGGTATTTTTGAGGCGCCTCAAAAATAGACTCCTCACGCAACGAATCGTGTACCAAGGTATTTTTGAGGCGCCTCAAAAATAGACTCCTCACGCAACGAATCGTGTACCAAGGTATTTTTGAGGCGCCTCAAAAATAGACTCCTCACGCAACGAATCGTGTACCAAGGTATTTTTGAGGCGCCTCAAAAATAGACTCCTCACGCAACGAATCGTGTACCAAGGTATTTTTCAGGCGCCTCAAAAATAGACTCCTCACGCAACGAATCGTGTACCAAGGTATTTTTGAGGCGCCTCAAAAATAGACTCCTCACGCAACGAATCGTGTACCAAGGTAGAATGACTAAAAACGGGCCCTTGCGGTACACGATTGACCCCCATCAGGCGTTTTTGCGTAGTTCGTGATGAGCACAACAAGAAAACACATCCTGTCAGGCACTAGCCTTGCAGCACACAGGGATAGCACTTAGAACACTTCAAAAAAAGAGAAATAAAAAAAAGGCCCACTCTCTCACTCACCTTGCCAGGGAAATGGGACCGAATTGCCATTTTGAAGTCGATGGAGTTGGTGATGAGCATCCAGCGCACCGTGAGAGGCGGCGGGTACCACATGTCCTCTACTGCCTGGGGGGATGGGGACGGTGTGAGTCGGAGTGAGTCTAGGAAGGGGTGTGGTGGTGATGTGAGTGAGCATCCAACACACAGTGGATGGCGGTTCCCTGGCACAGCCATTTTGAAGTCGACGGAGTGGGTGACGAGCATCCAGCGCACCGTGAGAGGCGGCAGGTACCACCTGTCCTCTACTGCCTGGGGGGATGGGAGAAGGGGAGAGGGAAAGGGGGAGTGTGGTGGTGATGTGGGGCCCTCACTGCAGGGGTTGAGGGGGAAAGAGTGCAGAGCAGAGTGCGAGGAGAGGGAACCACTCGTCCTCTACTACTGCCTGGGGGGATGGGGGAAGTGAGGGGAGGGGGGGGGGGTGAGAGATAGCGAGTCCAGAGCACTGAGGGAGAGTGAGAGCAGAGGTGGGGACTGAGGGAGAGAAGAGCAGAGTGAGGGAGGAGAGGAGGGAACTAGGAGAGCAGAGTCTCAGTTCATTTCTCATCTGCTTGCTGGTGGCGGGAGAGAGGAAAGAGCCCCTGAGCCTTGCTCCTGAGCCTATATAAGCTCCTCCTGTCTACTGAGTCCTTGTTTAGTTCTCAGTTCATTTCTCATCTGCTTGCTGGTGGCGGCTCCGCCTGCGACCGCGCGTTACGGGACGGCAAGAAGCTTCAGACCTGTCATCGTTACAACAACGACATACAAGCGGGCTTTCTAGGCGGTTTTCAATAATGGGGGTCCCCGCGGGGGCCCCCGGCGTCTGTTAAACATGCAGGTACCCACGCTAGAGGCGCTGGCAGGGGGAAGCTGCGCCGGCGCCGCCACTGCCGCTGGCGGAAGAGCCGCGGGAGCTGCTGGCGGGGGAGCTGCGGAAGCCACCAGCACTGGTGCTGGGGCAGCCGGCATTGCCAATGCCTGGATCACCGCAGGCACGCGAGCAAGCACCCGAGCGACAACTTCGTCGACGCTCGGGGAACGAGCGGCTGAGCCCCCTCACTGCATCTGCGGGCCACGCTGCGGGGGGCGCGACGGCCTCCGCGACCTGCGCCGACGTGTATCCCGCATCGGCAGACGGCGGGGCAGGCTCCGCCACTCGGGCGTCCGCAAGCGGTAGTGCGGCTCCGGGGACCGCCCGGGCCAGCGATCACCCACCTGCCGATCGAACAGCCGTTCCCGGGATCGCCCTCGCCCATACGACCGAGATGACACCATCACGGGGAGGCGTTCGCTGGTGGACCCCGCAGGGGCGTGCTCGACGGGCGCCAATGGCTAGCGCCGCGTCAGCGCCGGGGGATCGCGGACAAGGATGGCGGGGAGCGGGGAGGAGTAAAGCTCGGGGAGGTGCAGGCGGCACGTTCGTCCAGGCTGTTCGCCGCAGATTGGCTGACGCGACTGTTAACTCGGGGGCGGGGGCCAGGGCGGAGAGCCCTAGTAGGGCTGAGATCAGACTAAGGGAGGCAGCCGTTGGTGGAGACGGCGCCGCTGCTGGGAATGGTGAGGAGGGATCGGGTGACTCTAGATACACCCCTTCTTTTGAGGGGGACTCCGAGTCTGTGTCTGGGGAAGACAGTGCTGCAGAAGGAGGGGGTCCGAGGCGGAGTGGGGCCCGAGCCGCCCCGAACCAGCGAAATGCGGAATTCGAGGATTTTCCGAACCCAAATCCCCAATTTCTCTCGCCCAAGGCGCCGGTAATCTGGAATGATCTTTTCGACCTGGTCGCCAGCTAGGATATCGCTCCCCTTCGCAACAGTCGCCAACCCCCGCTCGTCCGACATCCACCCCGCCCCATTCGGGACCAATTCGCCAGCTGTCTGCTGACCTCCCTCCTCCGATTGGCCAAGGACCCGGACTCAGTGCCAGCCTGGCGCCTACTGATATTTCTTGCCCGCCTTACCCTCTGCGTTGGCACAACTCGCAAGCCTGATTGGCCCTCCTTCGAGCGCCGTTTGGACTCATTTCACAGGGGTTCCTGGGCAGATGTTTACGACGAAGCTGTTGCCGCCACCACTCTCCCTCCCCCCCAGCGCCACTTGCCTGACAGGACTGGGATATTTTCCCATGCCACGCGCCACAGAAACCTTGGAAAAGCCCTTCAAGCGCTGGAAGCAACTACGGTCAGCCCATCTACCGCCGAAACGCTTTCCGCGCTCCATTCTCGCCACCCACCTGCCTCCCTTGACATCCCAGAGTGGGTCCACTCACACGCCCTCGAGCGTAAGCCCACTATCTCAGCAAGGTCCTTCCGCCGCATCATCAGCCAGCTGCCTAATGGCGTAGGAATGGGCCCCTCGGGGACGTCCTTCGAAGTCCTGCGGGATGCGGCGCTTCACAACTCCGACATCTGTGGCCACCTCCTGGCCCTCACGAACGCGGCCCTCGCTGGTGCCCTTTGCTCCGAGGCCTCCGCGCTGCTCACCTCCGCGCTGCTCACCTCCTCGTGCCTCCTTGCCTTCACAAAGCCAGGTGGCAGCACTCGGCCCATAGCCTTCGGCGAGTGCCTCCACCGTCTGATTGCCAAAGCCGCGCTCCACCTCGCCACGCGGCCTGCCCAACTCCACTTCACCCCCATTCAGTTCGGAGTCGCCATCCCCGGCGGCGCGGAAGTGATAATCCACATCACCCGCGCCTATCTCGACATCACCCGCGCCTATCTCGACATCACCCGCGCCTATCTCGACATCAAATCGGGACACATCGCCCTCCAAATCGACGCCTCAAACGCGTTCAACGAGATTGAACGCGCCGCCGTCTTCGCGGGGCTCGGAGGAACGCCCTTGGAGCTCCTAGTCCCCTTCGTGCGGCTCTCGTACGGTGGCCCTTTCACCCTCCATGTCGACCACAGTTTCGGTTCCCCCCCCTCGCCAGCGCCTGCGGGGTCCGCCAAGGGGACCCTGTTTGCGGCGGGGCTGCACCCCGCGCTCAAGGACACCGCCGCCGCCTTCCCTAAACTACTCGTCCTCGCCTATGCGGACGATGTCATGCTCCTGGGTCCGCCAGCAGCGTGCTCCGCTGCCTTCGCCCACCTCACCACTGCCATTGGCGGCTGTGGCCTCCGTCACAACCCAGCGAAGTGTGAAGCCTGGGGCCCGCAGGGTGTGCCACCCGAGACGCTACCGCCTGGCGTTTCCGCCAGCACCACGTGTCTGCGCCTCCTCGGCAGTCCTGTGGGGCCGGTGGACGCCTGCGCCGCTGCCATCCGCGACCGCCTCAACACCGCCGCCGTCCCACTGCCACTGATCGTGGAGCTGGATCCCCAGATCGCCCTCCTCCTCCTCACCCGCTGCCTTGCCCGCCGCGCCAGTTACTTGCTCCGCTCGACCCCCCCCGAGTGCCTCCCCTAGGCGGAGTGGGATGCCTGGGGCGAGCGGCTCTTCCACGCGGCGCTGGCTGGCTGCCGCCTGCCGCTCCCCCGCGCCAGACTCGAGAAGCGGCGGGTATGGGCGCAAGCCGCACTCCCAACCACCTTTGGCAGGCTTGGGATCTGCAACCCAGCTGCTGAGGCAGGAGCGGCATATCTCACCTCCACGGCGGCTGTTGCGCACTTGCTCAGTGGCCTCCTTCCAACCCTCCCCGCTACACTGGGCCAGCTCCTGGCCCTCTTCGACCCCGACCCTGGCGCTCCATCCCCTCTGCCGCGTCGGTTAGCCACGCTGGAAGCCGCCCTCCCGGACGCTGCTGCTGAGCTGTTTTGGGAAGAGCGGGCTTCCCCCGACCCACCCAAGCTGCAGCGGGCTCTGCAGGTCCAGGCGGAGTGCTTCACCACGCTCCTGCAGGAAGCTCGCCAGCTGCCCCTGAACCCGCTCCAGGGGCATACCCAGCGCCTCCTCTCCCTTATGGGCCCAGGGGCGGGGGATTGGCTCCACGCCCTCCCCCTCTTCCCCTCCCTGCGCCTCTCCCCCGACCACTTCTCCACCGCCGTCGCCTCCCGCCTCGGCCTTCCACATGCTATGCCGAGACGCTGTGACTGCTGGCGGCGTGTCGACATCCAGGACCCCCGACTCCCCAACCACCTTCTCCGGTGCGACACGGGCCCTGGACGTACTGGCACGCACCACGCCCTCCGCGACGAGTACGCGCGGATCGTCCTCGAAGCGGGCTTCATCACCCGCACCGAGAGCAACTTCTTCACCCGTGTCATGAACCTCTGGGCGGACGTGGCCATCCGCCACCCCGACTCGGGGCGGTTAGGATCTGTGACGGGACCGTCACCGACCCTATCTCGAAGGAGGACGGGCATGCCCGCCACGGTACTGGGTGGGCAGTCCAAATCGCTGCCCACGGTAAAGAGCGTAAGTATCACCCGCCGGCCCGCCCCGAGTGGTTCGGTTTCTATGCCTTGGCTGCCGAGACCTACAGACTCACCTCCCCGGGGGTCTTCCGCTTTCTCCGCGCCTGTGCCGAGCTGGCCGCGAAGCATCGGTTCGACGCTGCACCTACCTCACGCGAGGCCGCCAAGCGCGGCCACGAGTACCGCCAACATTGGTCGGTCACTCTGCAGCGCGGGCAGGCCGTCGCCCTCAACACGAAGATCAAGATCAACCAGGCCCTCGCGGCTGAGGAGAGCCAGCTGGGCTTCCCCGCAGAGCCCATCCCCGTGGGCGACCTGCTCCAGGTCCTCGAGCCCGACCTGGGCGAACCTTAGGGTCGCCGTGATCTAGAGCGCTAGGCGTTTGATGCTGCCAGTTTTTGTTTGCTGTTTCTCTCTCTCACCTGGCATGCCTGTACCATGCCACCTACTTTTGAGTCGACTCAAAAGTTCTCTCTCTCACCTGGCATGCCTGTACCATGCCACCTACTTTTGAGTCGACTCGAAAGTTCTCTCTCTCACCTGGCATGCCTGTACCATGCCACCTACTTTTGAGTCGACTCGAAAGTTCTCTCTCTCACCTGGCATGCCTGTACCATGCCACCTACTTTTGAGTCGACTCGAAAGTTCTCTCTCTCACCTGGCATGCCTGTACCATGCCACCTACTTAATACAAAGGACATATTGATGGAACTACACGTCCTCTACTGCCTGGGAGGGACAGGAACGGAATTAGGAAGAGGGGTGGGGAGATGATGAGATGAGCACGGACCATGCGAACCATGCTGCCACTCAGGCGCACATGCACGCCCCACATGCACGCCGCCACACATGCACGCCGCACATGCACGCCCCACATACCCATCCCACATGCCCATCCCACATGCCCATCCCACATGCCAATCCCACATGCCCATCCCACATGGCCATCCCACATGCCCCATCCCACATGCCCATCCCACATGCCCCATCCCACATGCCCATCCCACATGCCCATACCACATACACCTTCTCTCCGATCCCCTTGGCGCAGGCCAGCATGGGCGTGCAGCCATAGTGGAGACATTAAAGTCTCGCCTTTCATCTGTAGCGTTAGTCTCACTCTGTGGCCTTGGGCTTTCAGTCATGTTTCCATTTCTTGAAATCCAATCCCCCCCGCCTTGGCTCACCTTGGCGCAGGCCAGCATGGGGGCGCCCTGCGCCAGGGCAGCAGCCATGGAGGCGGCAGTGGCGCTGCTCTCAGTGGCGTTGGGGTCGCGAACGAAGCTGTCGCTCAGCCGCACGTGCACGCCCACCACTACCGTCTGCACCTCGTGCGTCTCCTGCAGCAGATGCGCCATCAGCGGCCACAGCTCCCTTCTGGGCCTGGAGTGATGGATGGGGATGGATCCGGGGTGGGAGGGGAGAGAGAGGGGATGTTATGGGCAGCCACACATGCACCCCTACACACCATCACCGTCCGCACCTCGTGCGTCTCCTGCAGCAGATGCGCCATCAGCGGCCACAGCTCCCTTCTGGGCCTTGAGTGAGGGATGGGGGATGGAGGGATGAAGAAGGGTGGTGGGAAAAAGTGAGGGGACGTTTTTTCTTTCAGCCACACATGCACGCCCGCCACCACAGCCAGCACCTCATGCATCTTGGTAAGATGCACCATCAGCATCAGCAGCAGCCAGAGCTCCCTTGTAGATACGGAGGGATGGAGGAATAGTGGAGAGAGAGGGAGTGAGTGAGGGATGGTGGGGGAGAGAGAGGGCTGAGTGAGGGGTGGTGGGGGAGAGAGAGGGGACGTTTATTTTTCCAGCTGCACATGCACGCCCGCCACCACCGCCCCGCCTGCACCTCGTGCATCTCCTTTATAAGATTCAACATCAGCAGCCATAGCTCCCTTCTAGGTATGGGGGGATGGAGGAACGGTGGAGAGAGAGGGAGTGAGTGAGGGGTGGTGGGGGAGAGAGGGAGTGAGTGAGGTGGTGGGTGGGGAAGAGAGGGAGTGAGTGAGGGGTGGTGGAGGAGAGAGGGAGTGAGTGAGGGGTGGTGGGGGAGAGAGAGGGGACGTTGTGGTTGAGCCGCACATGCATGCCCACCACCACCACCGTCTGCAGCACCTCGTGCACCTCCTGCAGCAAATGCGCCATCAGCGTGAGGAGTCTATGTATTAGTCGCCGAAAAAGTAGACACCCCCACCACCACCGTTGGCAGCACCTCCTGCACCTCCTGCAACAAATGCGCCATCAGCGGCCATAGCTCCTTTCGTGGACTGGAAGGAGGGACTGGAAGGGGGGACTGGAAGGGGGGACTGGAAGGGGGGACTGGAAGGGGGGACTTGAAGGGGGGACTGGAAGGAGGGACGGGGGATGAATGAGTGGTGGTGGAGAGAGAGGGGATGCCATGTGCGTGCATTAATGCAAGGCATCTCAATTGACAACCGTATCTTATCCAGAGAATGCAGCCGAAGATGTACGGTGGTGAGTGAGTGGAGAGAGGGGGAATGGTTTGTTTCAAAGCATCGCAGTGCAAGGCATACCAAGCAAGGCAAACCAAGCAAGGCATATCAAGCAAGGCATACCAAGCAAGGCATACCAAGCAAGGCATACCAAGCAAGGCATACCAAGCAAGGCATCGCACTGCAGGCCGTACCTGACAAGGAATCGGAGAATGCAGCCGAAGGCATACGGTGGACGCAGCCCCGTAGCCCTGAGCGCATCCGCCCACCCGCCCGTCCCCTTCGTAAGCATCTCCGTTAGCATCCCGCGGTTCCACAGCACCTTCACATGCCGAAACCCCTTAAACTTCTCCAGCACCTGCAGATTCACCCGGTTCCCGTTCAGGTCTAGGAACGGAATCACCCCTGACGGAAACGACTCGTTTAGATTGGCCGTGCGGCGAGACGGCTCCATGGGCACATCGGGGGACTCTGCCCAGTCGATGAAGGCCGGCTGGAAGGCGTACTGGAGGCAGTCGTGCCTGATAACAAAGGCCCGGCGGTCCAAGAGTGCGACGACGAAGGAAGAGACCACCCCCACTAGGAAGTCCCCAAACCCCCCGCAGTGCCCGTGTTGGTCGAACGTGAGAAAGCGAATGGAGGAATCTGGGAGGGATGCATTTGGGAGGGTTGAATCTGAGATTGCTGCTGCTGCTGCTGCTGCTGCTGCTGCTGCTGCTGCTGGTAGAGGCGATGGGGGGTTTGGGGAAGGGAGGGAAGGGGAGGAGGGAGAGGCGAGGGAGGAAGGAGGAGGAGGGGGGGAGGGAGGGGGGATGTAAGCGGCGGCGCTGGCGGCGCGAATGGCGGAGTGCAGACGAATGTAGTCGTCCCGCCATGCCGTGCCGCAGAGGGCGTCCGGGTACTCGAAGTCCATATGGGGGGGGACGAACGTGTCTTTGATCGCCGTGGTGACTGGAAGCACCTGAGGGGAGCAGCGGGAGCAGAGGGAGCAGAAGGCAGAGGAGGAAACGGCAGTCAGGAATTGCTTTGGGAGGTCCCGCCATGCCGTGCCACAGAGGGTGTCCCGCCGTGATTTGTCCTCTACCATCCCGGAGGTGACTGCAAACAGCTCCTCACAGAGGGTGGAGGCGAAGGGGAAACAGCGCGGCGCACGGAGGTTGTCTGGGTACTCAGAGTCCAGGTGGGTGGGTGGATGCGTGGGTGGGTGGGTGTGTGGGTGGGGAGGGGGAGAGAGGGGAGAGAGAGTTGTTTTCTATCTCAATGATGACTGGAAACACCTGTTCCTGGAGGGGGAAGGCGAAGAGGAAGAAACAGAGCCGGGCACGGAGGGTGTGGTGTGTGCAGATGGGGGGAGACGAACTCGTCTGTGAGTTCAGGCATGGTGCCACGGAACGCCTAGGGGAACAGAGGGCAGAGGGGGGGAAGAGGGAGGAGAGGGAGGAGGGGGAGGAGAGGGAGGAGGGGGAGGAGTGGGAAGAGGGGGGGAGGGGGGAGAGTGGGGAGAGGGGGAGAGGCGGGAGAGGGGGGAGAGGGGGGAGAGGGGGGAGAGGGAGGAAGAGGGGGGAGGAAGAGCGAGGAAGAGCGAGGAAGTGGGAGGAAGAGGGAGGAAGAGGGAGGAAGAAGGAGGAAGAGGGAAGTGAAGGGATGGAAGAGCAAGTGGCGCTTGGCATGAAGAGACTGACGGCAGTGGGGTCATGGCAAGGAGCATCCTAGCAAGCGCTGATGGTGGCAATAGGTGCTACCAAGCGCTGATGCTAGCACGCGGAAGCAAGAGGTGATGGTACCAAGCGGTGATGCTAGCACGCGGTAGCAAGAGGTGATGGTACCAAGCGGTGATGCTAGCACGCGGTAGCAAGAGGTGATGGTACCAAGCGGTGATGCTAGCACGCGGTAGCAAGAGGTGATGGTACCAAGCGGTGATGCTAGCACACGGTAGCAAGAGGTGATGGTACCAAGCGGTGATGCTAGCACGCGGTAGCAAGAGGTGATGGTACCAAGCGGTGATGCTAGCACACGGTAGCAAGAGGTGATGGTACCAAGCGGTGATGCTAGCACACGGTAGCAAGAGGTGATGGTACCAAGCGGTGATGCTAGCACGCGGTAGCAAGAGGTGATGGTACCAAGCGGTGATGCTAGCACACGGTAGCAAGAGGTGATGGTACCAAGCGGTGATGCTAGCACACGGTAGCAAGAGGTGATGGTACCAAGCGGTGATGCTAGCACGCGGTAGCAAGAGGTGATGGTACCAAGCGGTGATGCTAGCACACGGTAGCAAGAGGTGATGGTACCAAGCGGTGATGCTAGCACGCGGTAGCAAGAGGTGATGGTACCAAGCGGTGATGCTAGCACGCGGTAGCAAGAGGTGATGGTACCAAGCGGTGATGCTAGCACGCGGTAGCAAGAGGTGATGGTACCAAGCGGTGATGCTAGCACACGGTAGCAAGAGGTGATGGTACCAAGCGGTGATGCTAGCACGCGGTAGCAAGAGGTGATGGTACCAAGCGGTGATGCTAGCACGCGGTAGCAAGAGGTGATGGTACCAAGCGGTGATGCTAGCACGCGGTAGCAAGAGGTGATGGTACCAAGCGGTGATGCTAGCACACGGTAGCAAGAGGTGATGGTACCAAGCGGTGATGCTAGCACGCGGTAGCAAGAGGTGATGGTACCAAGCGGTGATGCTAGCACACGGTAGCAAGAGGTGATGGTACCAAGCGGTGATGCTAGCACACGGTAGCAAGAGGTGATGGTACCAAGCGGTGATGCTAGCACGCGGTAGCAAGAGGTGATGGTACCAAGCGGTGATGCTAGCACACGGTAGCAAGAGGTGATGGTACCAAGCGGTGATGCTAGCACACGGTAGCAAGAGGTGATGGTACCAAGCGGTGATGCTAGCACGCGGTAGCAAGAGGTGATGGTACCAAGCGGTGATGCTAGCACACGGTAGCAAGAGGTGATGGTATCAAGCGGTGATGCTAGCACGCGGTAGCAAGAGGTGATGGTACCAAGCGGTGATGCTAGCACACGGTAGCAAGAGGTGATGGTACCAAGCGGTGATGCTAGCACGCGGTAGCAAGAGGTGATGGTACCAAGCGGTGATGCTAGCACGGTAGCAAGAGGTGATGGTACCAAGCGGTGATGCTAGCACGCGGTAGCAAGAGGTGATGGTACCAAGCGGTGTGGCAAGCGTTCTGATGTCAGCAATAGGTGATGGAAGCAAGAGGTGATGGTAACAAGCGGTGATGGTAGCAAGCGGTGATGGAAGCAAGCAGCATGGGGATAAGGAAGGCCATGCGCTCAGAGGGGGTGGATGGATAGCGGAAGAGGAAGAGCGGATGGAATGCCGCGGGATGAGGAAAGACGGGGAGTGAGGACTGAGGGAGAGGCGGTAAAGGAGGGGGGTGAGAAGGGGAAGGGGGGGGGGAGTGTTGGGGGGTGGGGTGGGGTGGGAGGTGGGGTGGGGGGTGGAGGGGGGAAGGGGGGGTGGAGTTACATTTGAAAGGGTTAGCACCAAGGCTGATGCCAACAATAGCGATACACGAGGTGAACGCGGCGACATGATGGCTGCCCGTTACTTCACGGAAACGTCAGACGCCAAAGCAGCTTCATACTTTGAAAACCAACCCAGTTTAGCAATCGCTCATGCTTGGAAAAGTAATACAGCAACTACAATTACTGCTAGCTAGTTGTAGCAGTCGCCAGAGCGTTCAGCCTGGAATCAGGAAGCTCGTTCTCAACAGGATTTAGGAGGCCAGGAAGCTCGTTCTAGGAGGTCAGGAAGCTTGTTCTAGCAGGATTTAGGAGGCCAGAAAGCTCGTTCTAAGCAGGATTTAGGAGGCCAGGAAGCTCGTTCTTAGCAGGATTTAGGATCTCACGCTCCGAATGCTCGTTTTGAGCAGCCTTGGTGAGAAATTCAGAAATCGGAACAGCTTTTGCGGAGTGGAAAGGTAAATAGTAGAAAGGTTACTGGGAAGCTCGATGGAACGACGTAATTCATGATGATTGGGACTAAATCAGTGCTAGATCGGTAGTCGATCAAGTGTGCTAAGGGCGTGTCACTAAAGTACGTCCGGTTGCGGTTCGCAAAGATGTTTTGCGTTCTGAAACGGTCAAATAAAACTCTAGAGCGGTTTAGTATGGTATTTTGCCAAAACGATTTTTGGTAACACGCCCTAAAATCCTTGCTAGATCATTGCAAGATCGCGAGTTTTTGCCTCGATCCCCCTCTCTCACACACACACATCGGATAAGAAATTCAGATTAAAGCGAGGGTCTCAAGAAGCAAAAAACCAAACCCAAAGGTTTTGGTTTCGGGGGGTCTCTAAATTTGCGAGGTGTGGTGAGGGGTGCTGGTTGGGCGCTGTTACTGTTTCGCTAATTTCGTCAACCCAAAACCAAACCTTTTGGATTTGGTTTCGCGCTACTTGAGACCCTCGCTTTAAAACCCGCGGCCCAAATTGTTCAAACGCACTGCGTATGAAGTTTGACCCTCAGGCTGTACGAAATACGCTGGAAAATCGCGAGGGCGTTTACTCTCGCAAATTCAACGCTTGTCGTGAACCGTCAGATTTACAAACACACAGTTTGACGGATGAGATTACCTTTCGACTGACTGGGGGAAGTGCTTGGCTTACGCGCCGTCAGATGAAAATTTAGAAAAACTGGACGGTTGAGAAACGCTCGGCACCTGGTGTTCCAAATTACCTTCCGCGCTGAACTTGGAAGGCACCCCTGAGTGACGAGAGTCTCGTTACCCCCCAATACACCCACGAAAACGCAACTTTCAAACGCACTGCGTTTGAAGGTCGCGCCTCGCAATTTGGGCCGCGGGCTTTAAGACAAAAGAGTATAATTGCACGGTTGAATAGGACAATAGTGCAATAGTAGAACTGTAGTGCATATAAATGGGATTATAATGTGCTAGTAAGAAATAAGAGAAATGTACTCAAGCGAGTAAAAAGAAGACTTGTCCAGGGAGAGATGCTTGTGAAGAAGGTTGAAAGACTTACTTTTGTGTGGCTTACAAAATAGAAGAGATGTAGGATCTTGGGAGTGGTTCTTGATAAAGGAGGACTTGCACTTGGGAAGGATCTTGAGCTTGGGAGAATACCACAAGCTTGGGAGGAGACCACAAGCTTGGGAGGAGACCACAAGCTTGAGGAGAGACCACAATCTTGGATGTGGTTGAAGGAGGGGGCCTTGTACTTGAAGAGTGAAGATGCCACAAGGTTGAGTGTTGAAGAAGAGAATCTTCCTACAAGCTTGTGGCTTGGTGATGCATCTTATACTCGAGTTGGGTATAAGATGGATTAATGCTCGATTACTTTGCTAATCTAGGAACTTTGTGGGAGAACTCTGAGCGCATAAACTTATATGAAATAGGGTATAGTACAAGCCTTATAATCCATAGTGGATACAAGGACATGCATGAGAGAGAGACCACTCATGGTAGTCTAGGAAGAAAGGTAGCATAGTAATGCCATCTCTAGGGACATAGAACATGAATGCTAACAAGGAGCCTTTGTAGTGGTGTGAACTTGAGGAGCTTGAAGAAGACTTGAAGGGGAGCTTGAAGGAGAGGAGCTTGGAGATGCTTTGTTGTACTTTGAGAAACTTCTTGAGAAGTTGGAGAGGATTCTTGGTGAAGATGAATAGTAGCGGAGCACGTGATGGTTGTTGAGCCTTTGGTGACTTGGAGTTGTAAACCATGTGGTGTTGGAGAGAAACTAGGATGAGTTGGAAAGGAAGGAAAGGAGGAGGAATGAAAGCTTCGTTGAGTTGGAAGGTGAGGAATGTAAGGAATCATGAGAGTCTTGTGTGATGATATGGCAACTTGGATGACTTAGGATAGGAAGGAAGGAAGGAATAAATAAGGGGCATATGGAGGTTGATGAGTAGGGAAGGGAGGAATGTGCTTGAATCACATGCGAAGAGGATTATTGGTTGGAGTAGATGACTTGGGGAATTCTTGATGAGTAGGAAGATAGAGCACATGAAAAATGATGAAGAGTCATGTGCCTTAAGGTGGGAGTTGGAGATGAATAGGAGGATTGGTTGGAAGCTTGGTTGAGGTGGACTAGGAATGATTATGAGAGTTGGGGAAAATTAGGGAGTAGTTGGGAGGCCTTAGGTTGGAGGAGATGAGCTGGAAAAGCTGGGTTGGAAATTTGGTAGGTAGAGTAGGTTTGGTTGGTGGGAAATGGGTTGGGGTAGGTGAAGAATTGTAACGAGCGGTTTTGGAGGGGGAGGGTTTGGAGTGGCGAGAGAAATGTGGCACGCGCATCACGTGCCACTCACAACAATCATTGCAAGATTGCGAGTTTTTGCCTCGATCCCCCTCTCTCTCTCACACACACACACATCGGATGAAGGCGCGGCGACGAGAAGCACAATCGCATCAGCACACGCTCGTAGTAAGATCGTGTTCATAATATACCAATGTTAGAAAAATCCCGATGTCGGGAATAAGTGGAATGTACCAGAACACGTTGTCCGACGTCGGACTAGGAATTTCGAGACAGCCCAGTCACGTGGCTCGAAAATATAAAGTTCGAGTTCATGTTCATGAGACCGCAAATTTGAAGTGGCTCAATGTTGCGAAATGTTACGCCGGTTGCGCTGAATGTTTTTTTCAGGAAGCATCTGAAAGTTTATCCGTGCCCGGCGCGTATAAATGCCGTCGTCGGCCATTTTTTTTCCCGAAACTACTGGGTCCACGTCGTGCACTCTGAATACGTTTTTTTACTGTAATTCGCAAATGGGCAAAAATATTTGAAATATCCACGATGAACACGCTCTAATGCCTGCGAAATACTACCTACCTGTAGTGCTTCTGAAATGAAACGCCGCACTCCCCTGAGAACAGCGGTAAAGCAGCTGTTTGTGCTTCCTCACCTGGCTGCTTCTGAAATGTGGCCTGACAACGGATCATTGAATGGGAACCGGGGGATTTAAAGCTAGGGTCTCAAGAAGCAAAAAACCAAACCCAAAGGTTTTGGATTCGGGGGGTCTCGAAAATTCCAGCACCCCTCACCACACCTCGCAATTTTCGAGACCCCCCGAATCCAAAACCTTTGGGTTTGTTTCTTTGCTTCTTGAGACCCTCGCTTTAAGGTTTGCGGTTTTATGTTATGAATGGAATTGCCAAGTAGCGCGGAAGGCAATGGCGAAACAGTGAACTGAGTGAATGACAATAAAATGAAAGACAACACAATATATAGAGAACCTAGGGCGATCCTGGACATAGGATCCGAAGGTTCAGGAAAAGTGTCGAAGGGCCTTGATGTGTCGAAGCGAGGTCCGGAAAGGCCCAGGAGGCTCGAACTGAAAGGACTGGAACCCTATCGCTGGTTCGGGACTGTTCGAGTCGTACGCTCTGTAGCAAGCCTCGGTAAAGAATTACTAATTCCTTACATTTTATTTCATTCGTAACCATTACACGCAAGCATCAGGATTGTACAGTATATAGCTAAACTGCTAACATCCTAAAAGGATGTACGTAAAGCACACGTTATACACCCAACCTAGGTTGGCAGTAGCAGCAAGCCTGCAGGCTGTCCCGAGCTGTGGCAGGAGCCAAAATGTGGATTGAGCACTTAAGGTGGGCGAAGAGCATAGTTGAGGAGCCATGAAGCCTTCAGTTCTGGATGAACGAGCGGTCGTCTGTCAGCACAGAAGCACAAAAGCCCGAACTTTTTGGCATAAGTAATCCTTGATTCAAAGCGCATCATTTTCTTCTTGGACTGAGAGGACCGGCGCCAGATGAATATTTGACTTGCGAGCAGGAGCGTGGACAAGACCATATGCAGAGCATCATAGATGTTGGCCGGAGCGTTGCTGATTTTTTTTTGCACACCGGAACCTCCACATTGTACGGACTGAGGCACCAACAAGAAGACCCGAGGGAGCCACTTGTCCTGCCCTTGATTGGAGAGGGAATACTGTCTGTTCCGTGATATTCAAACCGAGATGCTGATGGGCGACACGCTGCAGAGCCATGGTGATAGTGTCAAACATATGTGTGTATGTTTTGTAGACTACATAGGGGCATGCTATAGAGGGTACAACACCCTAGGCTATATATCATTGTATCCTCCCATTCTACATCATTCGTTCAGTTTGATATGGTATCATGAGTAGGTTAGGTCCCCACCGCCCACCAGCGCTTCCGCCGTAAGTCCTAGCCGTCTCGCCGGCCCCGTCACCTAGCGGCCTCGCGGGCCCGTCACCTAGTTGCCCCACAGCCCCGTCACTTGCGGCCCCGCGGCCCCGTCACCTAGCGGCCCTGCGGCCCGCGCCCCCGCGGCCTCGTCGCCTAGCCGCCCCGCGGCCCCGTCGCCTAGCCGACTCGACGGCCCGTCGCCTAGCCGCTCGCGGCCCCATCACCTAGCTGCCCAGTGGCCCCGCCGCCTAGCCGCCTAGCCGGCCTCGTCGCCTAGCCACCTAGCCGGCCTCGTCGCCTAGCCGCCCGCGGCCCAGTTCTCTAGCCGCCCCGCGGCCCCGTCGCCTAGCCGCCTTGCCGGCCTCGTCGCCTAGCCGCCCGCGGCCTCGTCGCCTAGTCGCCTATCTGGCCCCGACGCCCAGCTGCTCGCGGCCCTGTCACCTATCCGCCATGCGGCCCCATCCCCTAGCTGCCTTGTGGCCCCGGCCCCGACGCTCAGCCGCCCGCTGCTCCATCGCATCGCACCCACGTCGGCCCCTCCCACCGCACTGCACCGCACTCCACCATACTGCCCCGTTCTCTACCGCACCGCACTGCACCGCACCGCTCACCACTGCTCCCTGTCGCACTCCTTCGTCAGTACAGCCCACTACCGCTTGTCAGCTGCTGCAGCGACCATGATGGCGAACTTGGTGCTGCGCTTTGACGCGGAGGGTCAGCCGGTCGAGTTCGACACGTGGCTCGTCGACCTCCGCCGTCACCTCACTTGTCAGCGGCAGGATGGCCACCCCCTGGCCGTCCATATTGACGGTACCCTACCTTATCCTAACCCCCCTACTGCTCTACCCGCTGA